CTATGAATTCGTCTTCTGATGATCTAAACGAGAGTGTATATTATATGTTGGTACATAGGCAATATATTAGTGTTCTGAGAATCTCTAGTAATTTTGATTCAAGTTTCATATGCAAATTACCATGCTTTTACACAAAGGGTCATAAAACTCCCCAGTATTTCCAAGCTCCCGCTTGGAATTTCAGCCTCTTATATTGGACAAGCCCACACTGAGAGGCATGAATCTTCTCAGACCTTAAAGGCCTCACATCAGTGACCCGCCTCCAGTCTGCGGTTTGGTTAGATTCTGAGAAGATGAAAATGTGAGCGACAAAGCACCTAAGGACACCCTAAGTTTGCACCAGGCTTCGGCCTTGACTTTCCATTCACTGGGATTCTCGGACTCAAACTGGTTCTTTTTCATCAACCAACTTCAGCAAAGATCAACTGGGACCTTCAGATTGCATCAAGCCTCTCTTTCAGACAGACAAGACGTGCAAGTATCAAACTTAAGTCTTATTGATACATTAGGTATCATTTGCGCCTTTTTACAAAGGTGTGTTTGAACTAAGAAACTGATGTTCCCTTCAGGCTGGAGATCTGCTGAATATCAAATGGTACCATAGCTTCATATTTTTATTTCTCTTCTTTTTACTGCCTAAACTTTAACTCCTTTTTCTATATCAACTGTATGCGTATGTTAGACTAGTTTAAGTGTTTATGTAGTTAATAAAGTCTTACTTGTATCACACTTGACGTTGTTCATTGTTTGCTCATAACTGGAGTCCCTTAATCATGCAGATTTATGCTACAGGCTCGGTGTAGAATTGTACAGTTAGAAAGTTATTTCCCTTAACCAAGAAATTAATGTTCTTAGAATTGCCAGACAGTTGACCCTGAGAGGTCAAGTAAATACTTACAGCGGATCTAAATATTTATAATTAATTATAACTAGTTATGATTATGATTAATTATCCATATTTCCCCTTTGAGCTGATTCGCTACATCAGCGGTTCCCAATTCCAGCCCATGCTCCGAAGTGAAATAAACCCCTGCTCAGGGAGGAGGGAGCAATGAACACGGTGTAGGTATCACATTAATCGGAACACAGTTCATGCACGTAGCTCACTTCTAACGAGCTGGCGCACGGACTGGATTAACCGCTGGGCTACATCATGTGTCATTCACCAGTGAGAAAACTTTAAAAGCACTACAATACCAGGAAGGAAAGTCGGGTTGTTGATGTTTGTCTGCCATTCTCACTCTGTCTGCACAGCGTGCGTGAACGCGCTGATGACGTATCCTGTCTGCACGAACAGGGTGCGCAGAGGTATGGTAATACATACGTTGACAGGCAGGTAGAAAAGCCAATTAAAACGCTAGGACCGAGCGTTTTGATTGGACGAACATTTCTTGATCCTATGCTTTCCACAGAATATATAAATACAGACAAATACATTTAGACAACTTAATGATTGCTATCGGAATTTGAAGAGACTTTCAACCGGCATAACAAAAACATTTTCTGAAGACAATCACCTATTGCACCTTTAAGACTTTTTAAGGACTTTTATTAGGAAAACATTATTTAAGACTGTTTAAGGACCCACAGACACCCTGAATAAACCATGCTTAATGGACAAAGGGATTCAGCAGAGAGAACATGTTGGAGGATCTTCCCCTAGTATGAAAAACTTGTGTCGTCGTGTGTAGTTAGGACACGGTGACGAGTCTTACGGTCTCTCTCTTGAGCTTCTCTCTCTTGCGGATTAGCTCCACCAGCAGTCGGGCTCGTTCCAGGTCGTGCCGGAGTCTCTGCCACGCTTTTAGCTGCTCCTTCAACACCGAGTGCTTCTCCTGGCCGTCCCTCTGCTCAAACACACAAACACAGCGTCAGTGAGAAGCTCCTGCTTGCGTTCTCCCAGCGATCTCTTGTACGCACCGTGGTGGGGAGCGGCTCAGCGTTGCGCTGGGACTGCAGGTGCGTCTGGAGACGCCGCAGGAGAGGAACGCCGTTGCGGCTCTGTCTCTTCAGCGTCCAGTAGCTGTGCAGCCTCTGCATGAACTGACCCTTCCTCTGCACCGTCAGGTTACTGGTGATCTTACTCAACCTGAAGCAGAAGACACCACACTAAAGCTTCTGGAGTGCTCTGCACACTTCATCTGACCATTGCATTTCCTTAAGAACCATTGAACGTTTGAAATTACACTGCCGTTCAAACTTTTGGGATCAGTAACATTTTTAAAGAAGTTTCTTATGCTCATCAAGGCTGTATCTTTTTGATCAAAAATACAGAAAAAATGTTTTGTGAAATATTGTTGCAATTTAAAATAAGTTTCTATTTGAATATAATTTAAAATAACTTATTCCTGTGAAGTAAAGCTGAATTTATAGCATCATTACTCCAGTCTTCAGTGTCACATGATCCTTCAGAAATTATAATAATATGCTGATTTATTATCAGTGCTGGAAACTGTTGTGCTGCTTAATATTTTTGGGACCGGTGATACTTTTTTCCAGATTCCTTGATAAATAAAAAAAAACCATTTCCTAAATAGAAATGTTGTGTTACAATATGCACTACTATTCAAAAGTTTAGGGTCAGGCATTTTTTCTCTCTTTTTTTATTTAGAATAATTGTTTTTTACTTTTTATTCATCAAAGAATCAAAGTAAAAACGATCAGAGGTTACAAATAAAATATTAAGCAGCACAACAGTTTCCAGCACTGATAATAAATCAGCATATATTATACTGATTTCTGAAGATCATGTGACACTGAAGACAGGAGTAATGATGCTGAAAATACTGAGCTGCGTTACAGATATATTAATACAGGAAACCGATATTAGAAATTGCCATAATATTTCACAATATTATTATTTATTTTTTCTGTATTTTTGATCAAATACATAGAGCCTTGATGAGCATTTATTTCACTTGAAATAAATAGGGGCCTTCAGTGTCATTACTCAAAGTTAGAGTAACATTACATTATAGGGGTAATTTATTAATATGTGACCCTGGACCACAAAACCAGTCATACGGGTCAATTTTCTGAAATTTAGATTTTATACATCACCTGAAAGCTGAATTAAGCTTTGAAATAAGCTTTCCATTGATGTATGGTTTGTTATGATAGGACAATATTTGGCCGAGATACAACTATTTGAAAATCTGGAATCTGAAGGTGCAAAAAAAATCTAAATATTAAGAAAATCATCTTTAAAGTTGTTCAAATGAAGTTCTCAGCAATGCAAATGATTAATCAAAAATTAAGTTCTGATATATTTATGGTAGTAAATTTACTAAATATCTTGATGGAACATGATCTTTACTTAATATCCTAATGATTTTTGGCATAAAAGAAAAATGGATAATTTTGACCCATACAATGTATTTTTGGCTATTGCTACAAATATACCCCAGCGACTTAAGACTGGTTTTGTGCTCCAGGGTTGCATATTATTTTGGGATCAAAGCTGATATCGTGCATACTTGTGCGGTGGAATACATGGCACTGACACCACCGGCGCGGCCGCTCTCCTCTCGGCCAGGATCTTTCTGGCCTTCTTCATCTTCAGCCGTGACTTTGCTTTGGCCCTCTTGGCGCGCTCTGAGCTCCAGCCCTTCCCGTCTTCCTCGCCTCCCGCCACATCCTCCTCATCCTCCGCCTCGCCCTCGCTGTGGGAGGAGCCTGCGCTGGCCCCTCCCACACCCCCCAGCGGTTGGGCGGAGCCTGGCGGCGTGTGGATGTCGCAGTAGGCTGTTTTGCGCACGCTAAATGAAGTCCCGTTAGCGCCGGTCTCGCGCACAGGCTCCATCTTCATGTAGAGGCCGGCCTGCTGAGCACAGGTGACGTGGAAGGCGGTGTAGCAGTTGGCTTTGTGGCACTGGATGCAGGCACCAGAGCCGCGCTGTTTACAGATGTAGCAGGTCAGCTTCCAGCGGGCAGGAGGGATGTGCTCGATGCTGTCGATGGGCTCCAGGAAGACCGTATTAGCAAAACACACCTGTCAGGACAGCAGGAAATGATATTAGGAACACATCACCTGAACCTGTTAAAACCAGACATAATGTGATGAAGCGCTGAACAAAAAGTGCCTTCCTTGCAGCAGGGTTATTAATCGTTAAAACTAAATCCATAAAAAAAAATTTAAAAAAAAGTATATTACCTAAATATATATATATTTTTTTTTTAATTTTATATATATATATATATATATATATATATATATATATATATATATATATATATATATATTATTTCAGCTAGCTGCCAAGGCAAGACTTTACATAAATAACGTCTTAACGTCCTCTAAATAACTCAAACACACAAACTAGGGATGCACTGATTCTATTTGGAGCGATCTTCATGTTGATGATGTGATATCGATTCTAAAATCCCAAGATCGACCTTTCAGTCTATGCTGCTTTTTGTTGATGCATCACAACATCACTAAACATTTTTTTGTAATAAGGAAAGAAACAACGCTTTTAAACTGACAATTTTATCAAAAACTTCAAGCAATAAATGCTGTTTTAATGTGGTGTGACAGATCACTGTAGCGTCTCAGTTTCAGCGGCACATGAACTGACCATCTTTTCCTCTTTACTATTTGTTACAACACAAAATAAACATGAACAAAGCCATGTTGAAAGAAACAGAACAACTTACTAAAATGCATCATGTCTCATGTAATCGATCAAATCAGTGGAAAGATGTAAATAAAACAATGTCACATAACGTCACATTTACCTCAGGAAAAACATTCAATGTCCATAGCATATCAATGTCAATAACTCTAGAAAGGAGCATTTTGCTAAATATATGCACTATATCACATATTCTTTATATTTTTTACTTTAGCTGTTAGTGTCTTCATTATTGAATGCATGTTTGAATAAATTTGTCATGAAAGTAATTTAAGACAGCTACCATTTAAATGTTTATATTTCAGCAACGAATTGGAAAAGAAACACTTACATCATTATAAAAGTTGCTATGTGCAGTTTAAATGTTTGCATTAAACTAAGATTTTTTTTATTGTTATTGTTTTATCGTTTTGATGACCGTCAAACCAGTCATCAAAACTATGACCGGTTTGACGATAAATCAAGATAAAATTCCCCATAGTTAGTATTACCGTTTCATATTTTAATCATCATTATAACCGTATTCGATTACCGCGATTTGAACAGCTGAGGCTAAATAAACACTGTCCAGCATAAATCAGAGTTTTCAGTAAGAGCACAGCAGCAGAGCAGTTTCGTTTTGTGTGAAAACATGGCGTAAAGCTGGGAGGTTTTGTAAGAGTGCTAAGTGAATTATACAAATGAATATATGAATTAATTAAATGAATGTACCTCTGAAGGTTCTGACTGTCTTCAGAAAAGATTTGATGGCATTTTGTTTTCATCTTCGCTCCATGTAATACCTAATAAAGTAGTGTTTTAATCACAATGCTGGTTAACTGGGAAACAGCTGTAATTCTGCTGCTCCATCAGCGCCACCTGCTGTCAGAGAGTGGATCTACAGAGACTCACATTCAGTCTGTGTACAGTTTCCGTCTGGCATTTTACTTTCACTTTAGTGAAAACGAATTAGTGGCAATTTGGTGTCAATTGATTGAATTGACAACAACAAAACCGGGACGATATCGTATCGAACCGAACCGTTACACCCCTAAAATACATATAATCATTTATTAATCATTTTGACAACCCTTTTTTATTTAAAGGCCAAATGTGAGATTTACCATTTTATGAAACTTTTTCAAAGCTTTATTGGAACTTTTTGTATATGCTATTAGATAAACTGCCTGTCATGTTATTTAAAATCCAGACATCATTGGTAATGTTCTTGTTTTAGTGTTTATGCAAACAAAAAGTAATTTTATTTATTGTTGTTTATTTATGTGTCAGTACTTTTTAAACATTTCCAGCACATTTAAAAATTTTACCGTGAGAATACTGATAACAGTGATAATTTTGGTCACTATAACCGTGATAAGAAATTTTCATACGTTACATCTCTGGTTACGTTTAAACTTTGATATTACAGTAATGCACCAACTGACAGGGTTGGCCCTGTAGTTTACAGATTTAGCTTTTCCTTAAGAAAAGCTGACATGTACTGTACCTGATATCCAAATTAATCGAGATCAAATCAAATCAAGAGTGTGCGAATTGGAACCTAAAAGTGAAATCTAACCAAACCGAAAGAGTTAAAGGGTTAGTTCACCCAAAAATGAAAATTCTGTCATTAATTACTCACACTCATGTCGTTTCAAACCCTTAAAACCTTCGTTCTTCTTCAGAACACAAATTAAGATATTTTTGATGGAATCCGAGAACTCTCTGACCCTCCATAGACAGCAAGGGTACTACCACGATCAAGGTCCAGAAACGTAGCAAGGAGATCGGTAAAATAATCCACGTGACATCAGGGGTTCAACCGTAATATTACGAAGCTACGAGAATACTTTTTGTGCGCATGAATATGTTGAGGCGCAGCTGACACAGAACAACATACGCTGTTTGCGTTCAGTGGATACTCTTCAAAATGGCATCAGGGTGATACATTTTTTTTTTTTTTTTCTTTATTTACATTTTCTTGAAACAACACACACAATGTCACAAAATAGCTACTATACAGGAAAAATACGACATTGAACACCTTTAGCTGTAACACTGTACAATACATGACTTTTGAGCCAAGAACATTAAAGCTTTATATTAGCTTTCCACATCTGTAAGATCAGGGTTTTTTTGCAAGTAACATGCAGAGTGAAATGGCCTGTGTTTGATATTAACTGCAAAAGGCAATTTCTGCACCTAAAAGTCCAATACAAGGCTCAGGCTCCAAGTCGACAGAATACACTTCAGAAATAAATTTAAATATACATTTCCAAAATGGCTGAATTTTACTACATGACCATAAAGAATGAAACAGGGTGCCTTCTAATGTTTTACACTTATTACAGAGTGGGGAAATCGTGGGATAAATTTTATGAAGTTTTAATTTAGAATAATGAAGCCTATGAATTACCTTGAACGGAATCAAATTATGTCTAGCATTTACAGAACATTCTCAAGCACTCATCCCACATGTTTTCATGAATATTAAAACCCATTTCCTCTTCCCAATCATGTTTTATTTTGTGAGTGTTATTGTCCACCTTTTCTACCAATAATTTGTAAATATTTGACAGTACCACTAGCACCAGGGTGTACATTAACAATACTTTCTAAAGTTGGATTTAAATTCAAAGATTTGAAGTCTGAACTGTGCTTCCTAATAAAGTCTCTGACTTGCAAATAACGGAAAAAATGAGCAGGAACAAGAGCATAGTATTGTTCAAAATAACTAAATGTACCTTCCCTATAAAGATCTTGTATTGTTACTATACCCATATGTTTCCATTGAAAAAAGATCTCATGTAACCCCGAAGGAAAAGCATGATTATTACAGATTGGGGTATCCAAATATAAATCTGGAATTTTCAAATATACCTTGATTTGTTTCCATACTTTAATTAGGTTTGAAATAACTATGTTACCATTGATATTTTTGACGAGACTGTTAAGCAGAGCTGTTAATGAAGTCTTATAACAAGAAGCTTCTTCAATTGCTAACCATTCTGGCTCGTCACCTAACTCCACTGAATCAGTCTTCCTCCACCACGCTAAAGTATTTAAGTTAGCTGCCCAATAATACAACTTAAAATTGGGAAGCCCAAACCCTCTTTGATCTTTAGATTTGTTTAGATGTTTCTTGTTAATCCTAGCTATCTTGTTGTCCCAAATGAAGCTGCTTATAATAGATTCTTGCTGTTTAAAATAAGGGGAATAAAGGAATTGATTGAAATATATACAAAAATCTTTTAAGTACCGTTATAGCGTTAATCCTGCCTACAATGGACATAGGGAGTGTCTTCCAAAAAATTATATCATCTTTAAGCTGATCAATTTTCTTCTTCCAATTCAATTTTAATAACATTTCAGGTTTTTTGGTGATTACACCCAAATATTTAAAGGAGAGATTTGCAATTTTAAATTTGGTGCTAGATAAATATTTTTTATCTAAATCATCAGAGACTGGCATTAATTCACTTTTTTCCCAATTTATTGTGAATCCAGAAAGACTGCCAAATTTTTCAATAAGCTCAAGTAATGGTGGAATAGACATTTCAGGGTTGGAAACATACAGGAGAATATCATCCGCATACAACGAAAGATGTTGGGGTCTGCCCTCTATCACTATAGGCGCTATGGTAGGATGGTGTCTAATACTGGCTGCTAATGGTTCCATTGAGATATCGAACAAAAAAGGAGACAAAGGGCATCCCTGACGTGTACCTCGAGATAACTTAAATGGATTTGAAATGTTTTGTTTGGTAATAACAGAAGCTACTGGATGTGCATACATTATTTCAATCCATTTAATAAATTCTGAACCAAATCCAAATTTCTTTAGAACAGCAATCATGCTTTTCCACTGTATTTGGTCGAAGGCTCGTTGAGCATCTAATGAGATAACATGTCTTTATGTTTTTCTTGTTATAATCAAATTAAAATATATATAGGTCTCTTTGGCATAAAACCAGTCTGGTCCTGATGAATTATAGAACAGATGTACTTTTTCAATCTATTCGCAAGAATTTTAGTTATAATCTTAGATTCAGTGGAAATGAGAGAGATCGGGCGATAGAAAGACATCTGCAGCTTGTCCCGCCTCGGTTTTGGAATTAATACTATACTCGCTTCATACATTGTTGGTGAAAATGTATTTTGTGTTGTTGCACTTTTAATCAATCTTTGAATTATAGGTAAAAGATTTTTCCTGAATTCTTTTATAGAATTCCGCACTTAAGCCATCCGAACCCACAGATTTGTTATTAGGTAACTGTTCTATTACTTCATTTATTTCTTATAGTGTAATTTCTTTATCTAAGGATTGTTTTGCATCAGTGCTAAGAATGGGAAGATCCAATTGAGAAAAAAAATTATTCTATTGCCTCTTGGCTTGTTTTACATTTTTATTCATAGACTTCTTTACAGAAATCAGCAAAGCAATGATTAATTTCCTTGGATATTCTTAGCTGTTTGATATGCTATAATATCGCCTCTGATAACCGCCTTCATTGTCTCCCAAAGAACCAAATTGGATACATCTCCTTTATCATTATTTTCTAAGAACTATGAAAACTTGTTAGAAAGATACTCATAAAATTTGTGATCGTTTAATAACATATAAAATTTCCAGCAATAATTTCCTCTATTATATTTTATATTTAAATTAAGAGAAACCGGGGCATGATCTGATAATAATCTATTATGGTATTCAGTTGAAACTACATGTTGCAACAATCTGGAATCTATTAGGAAAAAGTCAATCCTTGAATAAGTTTTATGAACTGAGGAATAAATGAGTTATATTCACTTCTCAGTGCAACAATTTTCTTTAAAGTAGTCTCACAACTAGTTGATCTGTATTCACTCTCCAGATTTGTTATTTGTATGTCAATTTCATTTAATTTGGCTTTGTTCTCTCTATTCTTAGCTGTTTGATATGCTATAATATCGCCTCTGATAACCGCCTTCATTGTCTCCCAAAGAACCAAATTGGATACATCTCCTTTATCATTATTTTCTAAGAACTATGAAAACTTGTTAGAAAGATACTCATAAAATTTGTGATCGTTTAATAACATATAAAATTTCCAGCAATAATTTCCTCTATTATATTTTATATTTAAATTAAGAGAAACCGGGGCATGATCTGATAATAATCTATTATGGTATTCAGTTGAAACTACATGTTGCAACAATCTGGAATCTATTAGGAAAAAGTCAATCCTTGAATAAGTTTTATGAACTGAGGAATAAAATGAAAAAAAAAATGATCCGAGGGATGCAAAGCTCTCCAGCAATCTATTAAATTTAACTTTTGCATATAATTACTTAGTACACCAGCCGATTTACTTATTATGGTTCGACGGGGATGCGTGTCTAACCTCACATTTAACACGCAATTGTAATCACCAGCCATGATGGCTTGTGAATGCATAAAGTCTGGTACAATCTTGAAGACGTTCTCAAAAAATGAAGGATCGTCAAAGTTAGGACCATACACATTCACTAAAGTAATGGGTAATGAATTTATCTCCCCACACACACACAACCAAATATCTGCCATTCCTATCCTTAATAGTTTGCTTATGTATAAAGGGGACAGACTTTTTAATAATAATTGCTACTCCTCTAGCTTTGGTAGAGAAATTTGACTGGTAGGCTTGAGACATCCATGGAGCTTTAATGCTAAACTTTGTTGTCGTTATAATATGCGTTTCTTGCGTTTCAATTTTTTTTAAGATGCGAAAAAAAAACATTTGCATCTTTTAACTCGCCCTCGATGCCACCTGACATTCTTGTTAGTACAGCCCCCCACTCATCTTACAAAATACAACAAAAATGATACCTTGCAGTCTTTCCAATATATCAAAGAGAATTATATACACACAAGTCTTTTCTGACTCCGTTGTCCAATGTAGCGTTTTCAACATTTCACCAGTTCTCCACCGCGCTTCTTAGATATGCTTCAGCAACCTCGGGTGAGTCGAAGGTCTTTGTTTCTTTATCCCTCACGGTCACGATGAACTTGGAAGGAAAACTAAATCCGCATCTCACTTCATGCGCCCAGCATTTCTTTCGTATGTTGTCGAACTTCTGTCTCTGTTTCAAGACGTCAACGGCGAGATCTGGAAAAATACGTATCGCTTTGCCATCGTATTGCAGAGGTTTCGATCTTGCCAGTCGCAAAATTTGTTCTTTCACTTGGTAGTGATGGATTCGGGCAATAATTGCCCGAGTGCGGCCATCTCTTAGTGGTTGTGGCGAACGGTGTGCCCTGTCGATCTGAATTGGACGGTCAAAGTTCTCCTCGCCCAGCATATTGGCCAGAAGCTTTGTGACAAACTCAGTAGGTTTACCATTTTTAGCGCCTTCTTTTATACCGACAATTTGAATGTTTTGTCGTCGAGATCTTGACTCGAAGTCACAGGTTTTTTCCTTAAGTTCACATTCGGCCTCCAGGTGCGCACACCGTTTCTCAAGTGACTCGATGCGGGTTTCGTGAACTTTTGCAGTCTCTTCCGTCACTGTCACTCTGGAAGAAATGTTAGCGATGGATACGTTCAACTCCGTTAAGGTAGATGAAAGGACATCAAAATTTCTGTCAAAGGATCCGTTCAATTTCGCTATTGCTTCCATTATGTCTGTGTTTGTTGGCACCGCTGCCTCCCGCATCTTCTGTATTCGATTTTTCAGTTTTCTTATGCTTTGACGGCATTGTTCAGAATGTCAAGTTAACAACTTTTTGAGAGCAAATATTATAGACTCATGGAGAGCTATAAAAAAAACACATTTACTCCATTCAGTGCCGGAAGCGCGCCGTTCCAGGAGATAAATTGTTGAATAAAGTCGTTATTTTTTTTCTTTTGCGCACAAAAAGAATTCTCGTAGCTTCGTAATATTACGGTTGAACCCCTGATGTCACATGGATTATTTTACCGATCTCCTTGCTATGTTTTTGGATCTCGATCGCGTTAGTATCCTTGCTGTCTATGGGAGGGTCAGAAAGCTTTCAGAATGCATCAAAAATATCTTAATTTGTGTTTAGAAGATGAACGGCAGTCTTACAGGTTTGGAACGACATGAGGGTGTGTAATTAATGACAGAATTTTCATTTTTGGGTGAACTAACCCTTTAATATGTAACAGCAATTTCAAGGGGAGTCACACATTCAAAAGACTTCAACACAACATCTAAAGACTCATCATCCTCTGGAGTAAATGTTCATTAATGTGAGTCGATGCCAGAGCGAATCAGGGAAAAAAGTGAAGTAATGAAATTCAGCGGACGCCATCACAGTCCCTCCATATGCAAGACTCCGATCAAGACGATCACAGCCTTTCCTAGTTCTTTAAGAATCTGTACCTGCTGCGCGCCGCTCACCTCAGGAATCCAGAGGGCACACACCACATGAGCCCAGCGTGCGTCGTCTGTCTGCTTGAACGCGCCGCCCTTGTTAGGGCACAGGGCGCAGTCCACGGCTCTGGAGGGTGACTGCAGGCAGCGGCGGCACAGCCACTGGCCCTCGGGGATGTAGGGAACGCCGTAGCACTCCTGATGCACTGCCAGGTTACACATGTCACAAAACAGGATGACGTTGCTGTTCTGACACTCACCGTCGTTACAGATGCAGCACACGGCATCTTCATCGATCAGAGAGCTGGGGTCACCCTGCAGGAGTGGACGAGCAACGTCAATCACACGCGTGTGTGCGAGAGAGAGAGAGAGAGAGAGAGAGAGAGAGAGAGAGAGAGAG